GTTAATTTGAGTTAATTATGACAGTTGCGTTTTTAATTAGATTAAATATTTTAATCGTTTGACAGCTCCAATATATATATATATATATATATATATATATATATATATATCTCAGGTCAGTACATCAGAGTTGCATGAAAGCTTTCTGCCACTACGTGGTGATAATGCATCAGTCACTTATTTACCTATACTGTACACAATTAGTTGAAGGGGGGAAAAAAACCTCACAGTGAAAATAATAATTATTTCGAAAGAAAAATTTAAATCCAAGGTTCTGACAAACATCAGCCAAAGACAAAACATTTTCATTCAAAACATTAGTTATTTTCATGGTAAAAAACTTGACTTGTGACTCCAAGCTTAATTTCTGGAATTCTTTGCCTGTTTGCCATTTTGTTGGGTGTCAAAGTTTACACAGCATCAATAAATGTCTTTTTGATGATCACATTGTATGAGGTTATTTCATTGCCGGGGTTTTAGATTTTCAAACTGATTGTGGATTTGATTTAGTTATTTAACAAACATAATACAAGTCAATGGAAATCATATGGGAATGTGCCCCAAGATAAAAATACTAACAAAAAACAACCAACAACAAAAAAAAAAAACAGGTTGAAGAACTCCTGCCGTGTACCCCTTCTTTTTTTAAACGATCACTTCTGCTTTGTACAACATTCCTCGTAAATATTCCATCACTGCTGAGTTGATTTTAGAACAGGCCTCCAAGCAACTCATGTGGTCCTAAGTGGGGTACCTGGTGTCCACCAGCACCATATTGGTGACCCCTGTTCTAAAGCTTTGACAATGTAGAATTTTGGCCATTTCAGATGAAAGCGGTGCAGGTGATTGAAATCAGCATCGATGAATCCACAGGAGCCAACCTCGCAAGAGATCATATCACTTACTTTCTCCGAACAAGTTCAGCAATCTCTGACTGAACCCGGATGTATTCCTGAGCCATCTTGATATGCTGCTCAAACACAGCCATTGACTCTTTGGAGTTAGGACACGGAGTCAAGGGCTGGAAAAAAAATACACATATATCGTTAAAATTGCTGACAGCCAACTTGACAAAAGTAATACTTTGATCATTGGGTATATCATGTTTGAAACTTCCCGGCCCAGGCTACTGTATGATTTGTTCACTTATTTTTTCTTTTTTCCGCAAAGAGACGTTCAGTTGGAAATAAACTCATTTATGCAATATTACTGTAGACACAAGTCATCGTCATCATGTTCGTCACTTATTTTCTGCACATCTGATTAATTTTTAGTCGTGACTCCATTCAAGTACGCTAACTTTCAAATCAAGTTTTACTTCTGACCACTCTTTTTAAATGTAAAAAAAAAAAAAAAACAACAACAACAAAACTATACCGTTATGGCTGTTGCTCATTACGGCATGCGTGTGTAATTGTGTGTGTATGCGCGCATGCGCGGTAACAACGATGGCGGGAGGGTGGTGGATCGAAAAGTAGATCTTCCGTCAAAAAAGGTTGGGCACCCACCCATACTATCGTGGAACAGTTCAATACTATCTGCACAACTCTGAAACACTTTGTAAATAATCTTTACTCATGCTTTCAGAAATTATCTTTCAACATGCATCTTCTTCTTCTTCTTCCCCTTTCGGCTCGTCCCTTTTCAGGGGTCGCCACAGCGAGTCAGAAATTTCCAACTGTCCCTGTAAACCGTCCTACCAACTCGCATGTTCGTCCCGGCAAAGGTTTTACGCCGGATGCCATTCCTGACGCAACCCACCCCATTTCTCCGGGCTTGGGACCGGCACTGGGGAACAGTGCACCCCCAGGGGAGGGCACGGCCCCCCAGCGGCTGGGGTATCTTTCAACATGCATAATGTACAGAAAAAAACCCAAAATGCTTATTTCACTTGACAGTGAGTTTAACAACTGCTGTTAAGTAGTGCTGTGCGATACTGACAAAGTGTGATACCCTGACAATGATATATAGAGTATATCCCAATACAGTCTAACCTCAGTTTTCGAACGTGTCTGTTCTCGACCAAATAGGTTTTCGACCAAAAATTTCGAATTTTTCGTACCTCGGATTACGACCATTTTCTGTTCTCGAACAAACTGAGCGCACTTAAATGCACCATTTGACTGCTCTCGCCTTCCTTACACGAGGAAGTGACGCTTCCTCGGGTAGACGAGGAAGTGATGCTTCCTCGTGTCGCTTTCCATTGTGAGCAGACGTGTTCAAGAAACATTTTTTCTTTAAAAAGAGTGTGGTTTCAGTTTTCGAACAATTCGTTTTTCGAACAGCCTTCTGGAACGTATTATGGACGAAAACCGAGGTTTGACTGGACTGCCTTTTTCCTTAAAATTACATAAACTTGTTGTGATTTTTTTGCATACCCACTGGCTGACAACTATCACACACAGGCTCTCGAAGAGTGAGGCTTAACATAGTTCAGCACAATGTGAGCTTGCATCCTTTACATATGCACAGATAGGTTTTTTTTCCAGGCTGAATAAATGGTCATTTCCATGGATGTTTGTTTCCATGCATCAACATTTACTCGTGCTGCTTTGTTGCCTCTTCTGACTGTCAACCTGCTCCTCGCACAACCACGCGCATTGACTCACAGACCTTTTCGGTGCTCTTTTTTGGGCTATTTCATTGCTTCTTTATGCACCACTGATTCTGCTAGTTATGCCCATAAGGAACCTAGAGAGATAGGCAACCAGCACTAGATATCTATTTTGAGTGCCATAATTGAAAGCGAGACCAGTGTACCGAATCTCTGGCACATCAAGGGAACTTACAGCGTGCTGAAAATCGCTATTAAGTTAATAAAAACACGTCACTTTATGTGCATCATATGAGATTTATTGAGTTGGGCTTTTATTTGACTGGATGAGTTGAAAAACAACTTTTGTTGAGACAAGGTACCTATTTTTCATGCCTTCGCATATATATATATATATATATATATATAGAGAGAGAGAGAGAGAGAGAGAGAGAGAGAGAGAGAGAGAGAGAGAGAGAGAGAGAGAGATGTATATAAAAATAGGAATACTGTACTGAAAAAAATCCTCTACCTACCTGTAACTGATGATCCAGTTTTAGGTAGGCCATGGGAATGGAGCCGTCTAAACCATTCATTGCTACAAAAATAAAATTAGACCGTGAGTGATGTACTTAATTGTCATGGTTGTAAAACACTGGTTGATGATCATGTGCAAAATATCATGTGGTGAAATCAAATACAGTAAATATTCCCATCCCCGGAATTCTTTGAAAAGGAATTTCCTTCACCCGGAACAAAAACCTGTGCATTAACATTTTGACTACGATATTACATGTTACCGGAACTTACGTAAGCGGAAATTCCACTACCCGTAACCCGGATTGAGACGTCATGCCGCGGGAGCTTAAATACACGCAACGCTCACCCAATGCTACGGAACGACGACACTGAGACAAATTTTCACTTCGCGTTTTTCGATCATCAGATTCGAAACGACGATGTGTAAGTGAGTTTTTATTGGTGTGCGTTTTACTGTAATTGTGAATGATTTTAAGTTTATTCACTTAACGTCCTGTAGAACGCGGCACTAGCTTAAAAGCAGACACGATCAAAGAAACGTGTTCGCTTCGCCGTTTTCATTCATCAAATTCGAAACGAAGATGTGTAAGTGACTTTTTATTGGCGTGCGTTAGACTGCAATTGCGAAAGATTTTAACTTTATTCACTTACGTCGTGTAGATCATGGCATCGAAACGTAGAAGAACTGTAATGACTGGAGCGGAGCGAGTGAAATGCATCCGTTTGAGCAAGGCTGGACACAAAGTTAAAAGCATCCAGCAGACACTTGGAGTCGGAAAGACGCAAATC